AAGCTCATTCCTTACAGGAGGACACTTGGCATAAGAAAGTCCCTTGCAGAAGAAGGCCACTTTATCCCACTGTAGTTTTCCATAAACATCTGTAAGGGAAGACCTGTCCCCATTCATTGGCTGGGGTGGGGGGGTCACAAAAAAAGAACACTGAGTGAATCTTTGTAATAGAACAATAAACCTTTTTACTTTTGAAAACAGGACACACACACACACACACACAGAGTATATGTGTAAGTGGATCTCATTGAGTAATAAGCTGTTTCTCTTTTATACTTCTAAAGCACAAGCTGAATAACAGCAGGAATGCATAATATATAAACAGCAGCATGCAAATACAAGGACAGTTTCTCTGTTCAGGAACTGTCTTTATCATAGTGCCTATGTCTCACCCAACCCATAAATTTCGAGATTTATTCTGATGCCGATATATGGACATAACGTTCTCTCTCTCCTGCCTTACAGCCTTCAACTAGGAGCAGCAGAGTAGAATTAGTTTAAGTTTCAAAAGTATCCATGCTTTTGCATTTGGAGAGGGAAGGCTTACAAACACACCCACACATTGGGGCGGAGACAAATTGAAACAAAAACCAGGGAGTTTAAAGTATGCTTTTCTTTACATTCTCAAGCATATAGGTGACAAATATGCAGATGTTTGACCCTGATGTTGTCTGTGGATGTTACATGCATCTGTGAATTGTCCTTAGTCAATCAGCCTTCATATCTGTGTTTGTGTGTATCTTTAGTCGGCTGTGTTACGAGCACTTAACTGTAATTAAAAACAAAAAAAAACAGCCAGAGAACTGGGGAGGATTTAAATCCCTGCTTAAGAAACCCCAGAAATTCTCCTTTCTGGTGAGAGAGCGAGCAATTCTTTGCTTTTCTCAAAAACAGTGTATTATTTGTACATGTACTCTTAGCTTCATAAACAGAAAATACATTATCTGTGCGCAGAGACCAGGAAATCTCGAGGAAACAGTCCTGTTTGTCTGATTCTTGTACTGGAGGCAAAAGTCTTGTGGGACCTGAGTATTTCTCATTGAGGCATCTTGTCCTGTCAGCCGGAGCCTTTTGAGAATGAGGAAGTTAGTGAACATATTTCACATCCACAGAAAACAAAAGATACAACTATAATGGAAATAGTAAGACATAGAAGACAATGAAACCCCAGCAGCCCAGACAGCAGAAACAATTGGACATTTGTCTTCTTTGCTTCAAAACAGCTGTGTTGTCACCATATAGCACAGAGCCCCAGTCTTTGTGGCCTTCAGAGGCGCTAGACGTCAACTTCATCACACCGAACCATCAAAACTTGGATAAGGGATTATAGATGTCGTAGTTTAAGACATTCAGAGGGAATGAGCTTCGGGAGAACTGCGGTGTAGTGAACAATGGACAGTAATGGAGAGAGGGGAAGCCTAAGGACATTCAGAAGTTACCCTGTGTGGTGAACTAAGGTCTGCTGAATCTATGCTGGGGATGTAAAAGAGACCCTTGGATGCTGAACAGGATAAACACATAAACAGGTACACGTGAGAGGGGAGGAGATCTTGAAGGCTTCCTGACCTTAGAATCTTCAGAGACACAAGAGGTAATAATCTCTACATTGCATTAATTATGCATATCAGTTGGAAATATCTGATCCCCCCACCCCCAAATTAAAGGAAGCACCAACAGGAAGATTAATTGATTCCCAAGGTGACTGAGTTTCTGGTAGTCTGCCATGAGCAGGCCGATGGGTTGTGTTCAGCTTGTTGGCTCATAAGTTGTGCTAGTTTAGATTGAGGCAGCCATCAGAGTCTGAGCCAAGAAGAACAAGGATGAAAGAGCACAGGGCTGTTCCAGATTCTTCAGCATGTATTTCAAATGCGTTGTTGTTGTTGTGTGCTTTCAAGCCAGAACCAACCAATAAGTCTTTCAATTAAGTGAGATATTTAAGGAGTGTTTTACCTGTTCTGCATCCCCAGAGAGCTTCCATGGCTAAGCAGGGACTCAGACCTCCACGTTCTGTCACTTTGTCCACCGCTCCACATTGGGTATCTGCCAAACTCCATTACAGAGGCATTAATAAGAATAGCAAAGAATACTATGGCACATTAAAGATGATCAAGTTTTATCTGGTGTCAGTTTTTGTGGGCTGTAGCCCATTTATTCAGATCCAGTTAGTTAGTTTAAGAAGTAAAGGTGTAAAGTGCTAAAAGCAGTGGCTTCTTGCAATAGTACATTTGTAGAGGAGACTAGGCTGGGGAGTATATAAGTTATTTATTTTTGTAATAAATATAAATTGTTTTGTTAGCACTCATGGCGTACTTTGTTGCAAAGCCATTTTGAACACAGAAAAGTAAGAAAATTTATATAAATTAACTTAACTATAGGTAGAATTACCATCACTGCTGAATTCATAAGCCTGTTGAATTCTTGTTCCAGTAAACTCTGAAAACTTTTATGAGAGAAGTGACAACGTCACAAAAAATCTCTTGTACATCCTGGGTTGATCCCTGATTTTAGCAACTACAAAATTCCTAGAGCACATGTTGCTTGGTCATCCTCAGATAAAAGTACAATGGGCTTTTAAGGAAAGAGCAAAAGAGTTATTAGGAAGACTACTGACGTTTCTTGGCAAGCTTTCGCAAATATTTGCGTGAGAGAATCAAGCTCCAAGTGACCTCAAGAAAGACGCAAGAGTAGCTGCTGTTTCTCTAAATAATAAATATTCACGGGAAGCACACAGCAAACAGCCCGTCGTGGTGCCTGTTGTCCACAGTGTTGAGATCTCTTGCCGCAGTTGATCTGTGCTCTGACGTGAATCCAGCATCCCATGATTGATGGCGCCGCGTCCGTCATGCAGCCTCCTTCTGAAAGTCCCCATTTGTATCCCTGTAGATGCTTATCTCGCTAATGTAGCAAGCATGGCTTATCACTTCTCGAGGCCCCTTCTGCGCTGAAAAGAAATCACCTCTGTTATTTATGTATTTCTGTGTCTGGCTCATCGAATCTATTTTCTTGCACTTCCAATTATCTTTTATAGAGATCAACTGGAGGATAGGCCAGACCCATAATGACCTCAGGATTATTGGATCATTACAGGAAAGACTCACTAGCAAAGTGAGCTTGGCATTCATTCTCTTTGTATTTTTTATAACTCTTATTATTATTATTATTTCCATCTTTACGGCCGCATACGTGGGCTCTCTTCTACTCTCACCCTCTAGTCTTGGTGTTTCATCCTATCTGTCCCTGCTGGTTGTTTCTTCAAGGCAGAAGAAGGTGTGTGTGTTTTTTTGCAGCTAATGGGATCATTTCCCTCACTGCCAAGAAATATTTCACATTTCCAAAACAAGAAGAGATTGCTTAGAATTCCTGACAAAAAGAAGAACAGTGTTTGCATTGCTGTGCATGGCCTTGTTGCCGTGTTTATAGGATTGTGCCCTGTGCTTTTGTAAATATTTTCTGTCGTTACCCAGGAGGGGAATAAAACATGATTTCTCCCTAATGCTTTTTTAGTTCCGGTGGCCTTGCACCCACCTATGGTCCGGCTGGTGATCTCTCACTTTGATGAGTGAAATGTGTTGCATGAGGCTTTGTCTTTCAAAACACTCAGGAGACGTTAGTGGGTGCAGAATAAGGTTGAAAGATGGTTAACTTGGACCGATGGTGTTGTATGGCATATGAATCACAAGTGAAGATTGCTTGATCCATACTGTTCCAGCTCTAGGATTTACATAAATGGAAGGCCAGTGGTTGAGGTTGATCTAAGAAGTGAAATGAAGGGAACCTCAGGTTGAGGGGCAAGCAGGTTGGTGGCGTTTGGGCAGGATTGATCTTAGCTATAGACTAAATTACATTATTGACAAAGAAAGGGATTTA